TCTATATTGAACATCTGGTATGTTTTATTTTTATGATTTTTATAGCAAATGCATTACCAAAGAAACACAAGTAATCTATATGCCAGAGCAAAATTACCATAGGAATTTTTACTTTAAACAAACCAGGAAACATGTACTTTAATGTTTAATTTACTTTTTCCCAAGGGATATGATGGGAGATGGAAAATACCCAGTTGCTGAAGCAGAAACCTCCATAAGCAATAATCAAAATACCATCTATATTTTAATGATATGTTTTCTTTATACATTTTGGAATCTTTAAGAGATACCCATTAAAAAACCAAACCCATTGCTGTCAATTCTGACTCATAGCAACCCTACAGGACAGAGTAGAACTGCCCCATAGGATTTCCAAGGAGCGGCTGGTGGATTCAAACTGCCAACCTTTTGTTTAGTAGCCAAGGTCTTAACCACTGCACCACCAGGGCTCCTTAAGAGGAACAACATGCTTAAAAAACTGTTCACCACAGTTAAACTATAGGTGTGTAAACAGCTAGGTGATCTCTGATGACATAACATACTTGGTAATTTTAATTAAGGAACAATGATAGCACAAAATATTTCAAACTCTTATTCAGGTTGTCAGTGTGTTTGTGTCTCACACATACATAAATTGAGTAATTGGATTATTTGCCTAAGCTAAATCAGAAGATGAGTAATTGTGGTGATTGATTACTTCCAGTGAAAATGGTTTCAAAAAGGGTTTACAAAAAATCATAGAAGACAATACTGTGTGATGTGATTCTGGATGCATACCCGTTTACATCTTAACAACTCTGATACCAGAATGTGTCTTACAATTGCTCTTGATCTAAGGTGAAGTTGACTTCTTCCAGGAAGATTTGTTTTCTCCCTCTGCCAGTCACATGGGACCCTACCAACCTGATAACTTTAAATTAAAATCTCTGCTTGAGGTTTACAGTCCTACCTGAAAGTGTGGCTTCAGAAAGCAAACCTTCATGAGTGCTGCTGTGCTGCTCAAGCAGTGCCCCATTCCCTCTCTTCCACCCACTGATCAGGGTTAAAACAGATACATTTCCTTGCTATTTTCTTCTGCATGGGAATTTACTTCTCCTTTACACTAACACTGAATCATTCAGTGCCCCAGCTTTGTGCTGGGATCTTCTATTAGATTGCTCATCATGGGGACTTTTTCTTAGTGGTACATAAAATAACAATGCATCTTATACCCAGTAACATATTAGATTTAATGAAACGTGGTGATTTATTAAAGTCGGGCATTTTTAAGGCTGACATCATGCTCGTCTATCAAATCTTGAGGCTCCTCTTGGAGCTAAATGCTCAGATTCATGGTTGAATTTTCTACGTGAATATAAGGAGCTAAAGCACAGACCATATGTTGGTCTTTGCTACGTGTCTGCAGAATCCTAAATTGACAGCTTTGCAGACCATAAAGATGGCACTGCCAAAGATGTTTTATGAAATTCGGCAACGGTTTTGATGCCAGCCAAGACATAAATTGAGATGGGTTAGTTGTGGAGAGAATTAAGAAGACTGAATTCTGTGGCTATTTCACTCTGGAATGCTTGAAAGAAAATGCATTTATGCAGAACAGCCAAGAGAACTATCTGGAAGCAAAATTCAATAATGTCATTAAACTAAAAGATAGGATATAAAATATTTCAAAGATTCAAAAAGCTAAGATGATGTTCACTTAAAAAAATATATTATTAACTTATGGTGCAGCCTTTTCCTTCCTGGACATGTAGGTTACAGCATGGCTCATTCTTGCTTAGTGAAGAAGGAGGAATGGGAGGCAGTTTAATGGTAAATTGACTTGGCCACTCATTTTCTCGAATGCAAAGTTGGACAAGCTCCAATATTGTGCACAAGAGTTATTTTAGGGAAGGGAATAAATTGGAAACAATCTGAGATTTCTCTTTAACATTCTGTATAAAGTGCGAATGGAAAGACAAGTAGACCTGCCAACACATATGAATTTAGGGTTATACTAAAAGTACCCTAGGTGAATAGCCACCAGTGATGGAAGAGAAAGTGTGCTGAGATCAAGGGGAAATGGAGCTGGATTTTTATGTTTCAACTAGGACGGTTCAACACTAGTGCAGCCTTTACACAAGAGGGAGCATGGTGCCAGTTGAGTGTTAAAGATTTCATCTAACGTGAAATTTCTTCCACCTTAATTCTGAGGTATTTTATATAGTCTGTCTATTAAAATCTCAGGATATTTAAAATATGGAGTGTTACAGAATATGTTTACCATTACAGCTGGAACTGATCATCCTGAAGTGTATAATTTGGCTTCACGTTGCTTAGCAGCTTTCCGTGAAAACATCTCATGTCTTCATATGTTTCCATATGAGCACATATATTTTATTCAATGTGAGAAGTGACATTAGCAAGACAGCATACATGATTTAACAGGGTTGGGTTTTGGATTATTGCCTACTTTACTTCCAAATACTGACATCACTTATTCCAAGAGAATTCACTGATTCCTAATGGTAAGACTCAGCCTAGCCAAATGGGAATGCCTGACTTAGTTTCCAAACATTTGAAATTCACTGTAATCTATGGTATCTATGCTTTAGGTTTGGACCATTCACAAACAAGCAGACAAGGAGTAAAGAGACCTTCAAAAGAGTAATGTTTTATTGCTGTAGAACTCGTTGGATTATTTTACTCTTTCCTTTGATATATCACAAATGTCTACTTGGAAATGTCTACCCACAAAAAAGACCCTGTACCACTGAACCACAGCAATTTCCTTTCCATTGTATAGTATGCATTCTGATCGAAGAGTCTGGAGAATATTTACTCGTGTTCATTTTACTTTTTAATGTCAAGCAATTCTGTACGCCAAATTTTCACAGGCTTCACCCACTCTATTTGCCTCTTTGTAATTTCATCAAAACACAGCTTTAAAATCTGAAGCAGTTTCCAAAGCCCATTCATTTGATTATCAGCAGTATTTATTTTACCACAGTCTCACCTTTTTTTTTTTTTTTTTTTTATATCATTATCTCAGGCTCTCCCTTTATCTATGTGCACCAATAACTCCATCAAATATATTATTTTGAGATACTAAATGGATCTATGATGAGACTAGATTGCTAAACAAATGGATTTGACAGTAAGATTATATATATAATTTTCAAAATGTAGCATAGTGTCTTATGCATATTGGTCTCTAATAAATAATTATTAGTTGATTGGTTGACAATGATGTTTCTAAAGAGTGATTCTATTTCTGAACAGGATAGTGCTAATAATAACCATGCATGACTAAAACATTCATAATAAATAATAGCTACTGTTTAGTTCAAATGTCTACAGGACAATGAAAGCAATAAGACAATTGCTTAGGTTATAGCTTGAGATATTTAAATCATGCAATCATTCAACAAATATTTATTGAATATAATATTCATGATATTGTATCTGTTGTAGTACTAGGGATATAACGGTGAGCAAAATAATAACGTTCCTACCATCATGGAGTTTAAAGCCTAATGGAGTGGAAATAAGCTGTAGTTACATACTCTTGTTTCTTTTGCTTCCAGTTATGATCACTAACGTCTCCATATCTAACCAAATAGATTATTAATATAATGACTTAATAATTCCTAATTCTGCATTTCTGGAATGATACTGATCATAATTAAATATTTTTTTCATTAAAAATACATTCATGGAAGAATAGTGAATGTTTTATTGCCCAGACGAAGTAAGCCATTTGAAAAAAATATAAGGAGTATACACCAAGGGTGTGTTAATAACGCGTCATACCTGTGCAGGAAAGCACTCAGCCTGACCTCATAACATTTACTCTAAATTAGTGGTGTCTTTCTTGTCTATAATGAAGACAATAACAGACAAGAAAGTCGTTGGGGAGAAATTTGGCAAACAAAGTGGATCCCAAATAACAAGTTACATTCGTGGTCACTCATCTCTGGGTAAGAACACTCTTCCAAATAACCCTGTGAGCATTTGTGAATCAGATATTGGTACATCCAGACTATGTAACAGGGGAAGTCTGAATTTGAGAAGGGTGACTAGGCTCTAATGCATGCTGGGAGTGGTGTTTGTGCAGTGTTGCTGGGTTTTTGTTTGTCTGTTTTACATTAATGGAAGTATGAATATACTACATATGGAGTGAGTAGAGAAAATCAAATTGATAAAAAATACTAAGCCTGCTTATAGGATTAATGTAAAAGACTCCTCCAAGAGTTGATAATTATGTTCATTTACAATGTTCACATTTTACATTTTGCCCATGTTTAACTCTGAACTGTTTACGAGCAATGATGTCATTAATGAGTTTCCCCAGTAGAGGGAAGTATAGCCTCATTATTATTTTCATAAATGATTAAAGTGGGAGGAGTGGCAAATCCCTATAATTTTACTGCATTTTAAAGCAAGACTGGTTGATATTTCATCATTAAATAAGCTGTCTTGACATTAAACAGGCCTTGGTTTCTTTTAGGAAGTATAAAGTGAACTTGGTCCAAAATGCTCAATTCAAGGGAATGGCCTACTGTGTGGAGACATCTCAATTATCTTCTGCTTGACTACCATATCCAATAACAATTTATGAGTATATATCATTGTAGGCACAATGAAAAATTTACACAGTTTAAGGCTACACTTTCTTCTTTGATATAATTTTTATGAACATTTCTGTTGTCTATTTGGGTGGCTACTACATACGAAAGCATATACAGAAACCTGACTTCTTTTTCTTAATGTAAGATGATTGAACTTTAAATCATGTGAAACTCTAAAATCTTGAATTTATCATACCTGCAATAATAAAATTTAATTCAATGCTTTGTGTTCTTTAGCATTTTCTCCCTGCTAGATTCTCCTCCTCTTAAGCTAGGTTTCTTTAAGTATTCTAGGAGGGGGATGTACATCTGCACGCATGTGTGTGCATCGGTATTATTGTTTATGATTTTATCCTGGTGTTAGCAGGTTGAAAGATAAAAATTGTGACTTACCGTGGTGTTCTAAGTCTGAGCAGTGAGTCAGTGGGTCTCCATTTCTTATATCTTGTCGTCTTGTGCGTCTAAAACAATTACATTCAAAAGATATTATTTTATCTCTATTCCCTCTTGGGAATGTTTCATAATAATGAAGAAAAACCAAAAATGTATATCAAAGACTCCAAGAGCTTATTAGGGAGAAATGCACCTAATTCCAGCTAAAACACTTTTTTAAAAGCAGTTCATTACACCTGGAAGAGCAGTCTCCAAGAGAATTTATATAGGTAACAGGTATACAAATATACTGAGAATGCGTTAAAAGTCAAAGCATTACTAACAGAATTCATGGTTTTTCACAACTAGATGTCAACCAATAAGAATCTAACATCTAGAAACTGTAGGCTTAACTTCTGAAGAAAAAGCATAAAATTTAGAATAGCAACCCATTTCTTCAATAAACAGAGTTAAACTTTTTTTTTCTGATCATTAATGAGGGAATAAGCATGAAAATTAAACCTCACATGATGGTTCTTTTTTTTAATACATATAAATAATTCCTTAGTGTTTTGTCAAATTTAAAACTATTAAGCATAGAAATTTTAAAATTAGTTTAAATTTTTTTTGATTGTAATATCAACCTTTTTGTAAAAAAAAAAAAAAAAAAGTTTCTTATACGACCATACAGCTATGAATGTAAACCAATTTACCTGAGAAGTGAATAAAAGGAGAAAAACAGTAACATATGTTGGGCTTAGGGGCAAGAGCTCAGTTTGCTGGAGGAAGGCAAGAGATAAGACATGAACTCATTAATAGCATTCAGAAAAGCCAAATTTGCTTACAAGAATCAAAGTTAATTATTCCTACATTCTACTGTCCAAATCATATTTTACGTCATATGTAGTACACTCTGGGCATCCTCTTTCTCCACTTTGTTGACAGTTGACTGAGAAGGAAGACATGGCCATTGTGGTGTACAAAAGGAGATGTGTAGTTTGAGCAAGGGGCTAAAATTGGAGTTTGGCTGTGTGTAACAGACTGGAAAAGATTGGGGAACACTTGCTCAACTGTTTACTGCATCTATTTCAATGAGTATTGTCTTGCTGCAAAATTAGTTACCATCCCTAAAAAGAGCTCTCACAAAGGCCACTGAGAATTGCAAATATGGATTTTGTTACTGTATTCACAAATCTAGAAGTCCAAAGTATTTATAGATTTCTATTTGTAGAATTAGTAAGACTATCAAACAGATGTTGCACATTTCAAAATTGGGCCAACAAGAGAACTTGTGAAACACGAACCACAAAGCATTTCGGAAGGCATTTTTCACTCATTTAGGCTTTTGAAAAATGCCATTACAAACAACATACAAAATGTGAGGCCTCTAAACATCCTTTTCAAAGGCATAGTGTCAGACACATGAAATTGGGTTAAGGAAAATCTGTAAAGCACAACAAAAATGTGTTAATGATAATTCCTTCAATCTTGAATCGTAGGTGTGCAATAAACACATTTAAAATATACAATATACAGCTCTTAATTTACTATAGATGTTGCTATGAACTTTTTATCAACTTTCCTATTAAGAAAATCTTAAATTCAAATGGATTATTACTAAATTAGGCAATATTATACACTTTCACATAGAAAGGAAATAATACTCATCTTTAATTCAAACATGAATTCCATATTGTTTGAATAACATTAACATTCCCTTAGAGCTAAATGCTTTTAAGAAGCATACAATTTTAATTTTAAATAATTTAATTTCAATGCTGTAAAAACTGTATATTGCTATTTATTAAATTATCTGTGGTTTTTCTGATCAATAAGACATTATCTCCAAACTAAGTTTTTATTTCAAATTTAAAATTTCAACATCATCAACAGGTATATGGAAGTAATATAAACATTATCTCTTAAGTATCAATATTGAAGGCATAAGAAAATTGTGAGTATTGACATTTACAACTAAAATTAACAAGTTATTGCTTTTTAATCCATATGGACTGATATAACAGATTTAAGCTGTAGGTAATTTTACAATATAGTCAATGTTATCTAAAGCGTGCAATCAAAAGATTTAAGTAGACATCGGGACCGTTTTTTCCCTAATGTTTTTTTCCAAACATTTACAATGATCCAAATGCTGTGGAAACATCTCACCAGCTATGAAAAATTTATACTCACCGCTCCTTTGAAAACACTATAATTAAGAACAAGCAAAACAAGCTCCTAAAATGCAGTAGCTTCATAACGCTGATTTCTTTTTCATGTTTCAGTAGGTTGATGTGCATGTCATTAATCTTTAGGCCCACATTAACAAGATATTGTATATTACTTTCATCTATTATTGCTCAAATCTTAAACCCTGGTAAATGGCAACAGAGAAAGGCAGCTAACAGTGAGTAGCAGAGAATCTGTTGTGATGGCCTTTTTTTGTCAAATGAGTGTTACATTTTTAAAGCAAAAGTAAATCAGGTTTGGGTATCATTTTTAAACATGTCTAGGAGCTCTCTGTAGGAATATTGTATAAAAGCATTCCTTGGATATAATATTATACTAATTGATCAAATATCCATCCCTAATGAATTTAATCAAGTATAAGTAATTTACAGTTATATTTTATCTAAATGTAGAATTGTTTCTGACAGCTTTCGTAGTGTATCTTAGCAACTTTTTTCAAGCACATCCAAAAAATACCTTTAGGTATTATTAAGAATATACTTAAAACATATGTGTATGTACGTATGTATGTATAATAGATATTTTTTACGTTGTTTTATATTTCAAGTTTAATGCTGTGATTGTAATATGATACTATGATAATACACTGGCATTTGCGTTACCTTTGGTCAAATGAAGATGTATTTAGTGATATTAGTTGATGAACGTTACATATATCACGTACAAAACTATGATATTTTTTAAAACTATAAAGAATTCATTTTATAATTGGGTCCCTGTGTACTAGCTAGGACTCTAAAGGTAAATACATTCCTTTCTCTGAGGATTTTCCATTCATTCAGGAACATAAATTGCCTCATTAAAATTTAAAACCAGGATAGAATGTTGCTGCATGGAATAAAAGGAGCAAATCTGGACCAAAAGTCAAAAGGCATGAGGCCCAGTCTAAATTCTGTTTGTAACTTTCTCTTTGACTTTGGCCCTCAGTTTCCTCTTGTGTAAAATAAAGTTATAATACTTTACAAATTTCTAAGTATAAACATTCAGGGATATGATTGCACCGTTTCAGATTTCCCTCTGTAATCTATTAAAACTACTTGTTCCAATACATTTAGTACCCAATTTTCCTGCTATACATTTTCCGATTGTTTTGACTATTTTAGGAAGGAAAAGCAAACAAAACACTCTTCAAACCTTTTATACATCAGGAAAATGTGATATAATTATTTGAAGAAAGCTGCTCCAAAAATGAAATCAGCTAAGGTATATAGCAAAGATCTTTTATTTATTTTTAAGATTTCTCTTACCTCTTTGCAGTAGGAAAATAACGAGAACATGAAGAACCATCCCAGGCACAGTAAGGGTCGCGGGCCAGGCAACACTCTGCACAGGCTTTTCCGTAAATATCACACCGGTGTAAAGGTAGTTGGGCAACCCCAGTGGTTGAACCAATATATAGTTGTTGCTGTGGAAAGAGGTCACTGTTACACAAAAATTATCTTGTTTTTTTTCAAATTTCCTTTTTCTTAAAAAAAAAAGTTTCATCTGTACACAACCTATCAAATATATATTTACGGGTTTTAAAAAGACTATCATTATTGGTAGTTTCTTCAAAGGCCTGGCAGATAATGTGACAGTTTTAAAACAGAGCAAGATCAAATATTTGATCAAAACAGGTATCTTTTATAAGTATAAACAAAGGAAGATAGTAATACACTGAACAATATAATGTTCAAACCTTTACAAATTTTGTTCTTGGGAAGCTTGCTTTTCTACTTCTACTGTTTGTAATATTGACTAACCAGAATATTTATACTGCTGTGTATTCTTGTAGGCCGTAAGGCGGGAATCATTCGCTTCTGAATCATGGGTGCGCAGTTATGTTGCTTGTGGTGTAGCCTGTCCTTGAATATGAAGGGAAAGGACAGGATTTCGTGCTTGCATTTGAAAGTTTTTCTCCGCAGCAAGAACTGTCTGCTCTTGTACTATCTCTAGCAAAAATTACTTTAAACAAAACTACTAAATCACTTCTCATTAGAAAGATCATCAAAGAGGGAAACAAAGTATATTCTGGCTGCTGCAGTGTACTTAACTAAAGGATAAGGTATCACTGAAAAAGCACCGGACTGAGCATTGGGGTACCTGGATTCTTGGTTTTCCCCTGCATTAACTCTGTGTGTGATCTTGGTGATCCTGCCCCTTTTTCCTTCAGGCCACTGTCCAATCCATGATTTCCTATTGGCTTTAATTCCAAAGTAATTTACACTATATATTTTTTAAACTTAACTTCCTCATAAGCATATTTAACTAGATCTTTAAATTATGAATAGATAAAAGATCTACAATGCCATTATCCTCAAAATGAGATTGGAGTTACTGAAAAAAATAGAATGCGGAAGATTAAAAAGAATAACAACTTTCTAGTAGTTACTAATTCAGATTCTCAGTATACTTAAAAAAAAAATGCCTATAACAAATGTGAGCCAATGTAGCATATCAGCTGCAAATTTACATAAAAACAAAATTATTTTCTTATTTCTCTGCATAATTGATACCATGGCTCCCTTTTCTTCGACTGGAAAAATGAGTAATTATAACAGTAAAAAAAAAAACAAACAGTTGCCACAGAATCGATTCTGACTCATGGCAACCCAATGTATGTCAGAGTAGAAATGTGGTCCATAAGGTTTTCAATAGCTGATTTTTCAGAAGTAGATTGCCAGGCCTTTCTTTTGCAGTGCCTGTGGATGGACTTAAACCTCCAATCTTTTTGTTAGCAGCTGAGTGTATTAATCTTTTGCACTACCCAGGGACTCCCGAGTAATTATAGTAAGCTCTAAATAAAAATCATATAAATACATAACCATGTAATAACACATATGGAGAAAACCTCAGAAGTGTATTTGAATTCCTCTACTATACAGATGGAGAACTGGTGGTGCAGTGGTTAAGAGCTATGGCTGCTAACCAAAAAGTCAGCAGTTTGAATCCAGCAGCCACTCTTTGGAAACCCTATGGGGCAGCACTATTCTGTCCTATAGGGTTGCTATGAGTCAAAATCAACTCCATGGCAACGGGTTTGGTTTTTGGTTTATTATACAGATAAAAAAATAAGTTCCAGAACAAATGGTCTCCAAACCATGATGTGCTCTTTCATATTACAAATATTCTAATAGAAAGAGAAGGATATAATCAAAATTGCATCCAAAAGATTTTCATATATGGACTGAATACGTAAATAAGTGGATAAGTTGAATGATGACAAATATTTATTAGAATCTAAAAAATTATTAAGGTTACTAGGCATATTTATGTAGGAAAATTATTCTATGCTTAAAGATAACCAAATTACTTACCTATTTTCTTAATACAAGAAAGAGAAATAAGAGGGAAGAAATACAATAAAATCTTAACCACTGTGGAAGCAGTTATACTGGTATGCTTATTCCATTCCACTAACTGGAGAAAATGAAATTATAGTCTATAATAAAAACTAGTTGCCATTGAGTCAATTCTGACTCATGGCAACCCCATGTGTGTCACAGAAGAACTGCACTCCACAGTGTTTTCAGTGACTGGGATCTATTGGGAACACATCACCAGGACTTTTTCTGAGGTATCCCTGGGTGGATTTAAACCACCAACCTTTCTGTGAGTAGCAGAGTGCTTAACCATTTGTGCTAGCCAGGGACTCTGGTATATTTATATCTATATACACAATATATATTAGATATACTGTATATATGTATATATATATATTACTAGACACTTAACTGTTTACTATAAAAACCCAGAACCCATTGCCGTTGAGTTGATTCTGACTCATAGCGACCCTACGGGACAGAGTATTTTTATTATGTTGGAAGATGCCATAAACCAAGACGAATTAAGAAATGATGGCTAAAGTCCCTGGGAAGAAAAGCCAAAGTATTAAGCTCTTTCTTGAGTCTTAAAGCATCTACAGAACCAGTATGTGATGACCATTGACAATAATTTGAAAACTATTAACAAAGAATTGAACTAAAGAAAGAAATTAATCCTTTATTTCTTTCTTCCAATAGCCTCTTTTTTTTTTTTAATGAACTTAGATTCTATGGAAACCAAGCAATTTCAAGTTGATGAAAAAAGTTTATAGTATCTAATATTTAAGAAACAACAGAATTAGTTAAAAAGGGGTAGTAATATCCAGAAGCATGGCTGGCATTGGTAAATATGTACATGATCATCTGTATACTGGGCTTGTATCCATTTTTAAGAAGCTACTGATCAGGCTAGTCATACTTAATCTAAAGATATATATGTTTGGTCAAAATCTTTTAAGAAGTATGAGCAAAATTCATATTTATAGATTTTTAAAAACTATGCTTCTTGAAAGGAGTTGTTACTATCTAAAGCTGTCATATCCCTTTAGGAAAGGAACATAGAGGTTATGCATAGGAAAAATAGAAAACCAAATTATGGCACTGAAATTATTGTAGTGAAATCTGAAGTCTGTGAACAAAATGCCAAAAATGATATACAATTCAATGTCTAGTTTTCATTTTACATTTATTTTGTAGCAATATTAATGATGTGCAAAAATAATTATGCTATCCAAATGAAATATAGGGGAGGCTTGCTGGCACCATTGAGCATAATCCAGTCACTAACAAGTAACCTGATGTGCTCTTTCTGCCCAATTTAACTTCACCACAGGCTTTCTCACTCTCCTCCCTAACAATTGTGGGCCATAAGCAGGAAACAAGTCCATTTATCCAGAAAATTAGTTGCAACATTACTTGTCCTTCTTGAAGCTGCTCACTTCTAAAATGCCCATAAGCATACATGGAATTGAGTCACATCTCAATGAACTACAATCTTCAATCGTAGAAAAATAAGGCTATGGATATTTTCTTGTATAAATTTTATGGTATTTTAAATTGACACACTGTTTTTGTTGGTGGTAAAATGTGTTGCATTTAATAAGCAATTTTTTCCAGTAACTGTAACAAGTTTATGACAGAAAGGAATGTTTAAAAAAACTAGATATGGAAGTAATTTAATTAAGATTGACTATGAAGGATAGCAAAGAATAAATAAATAATTGTAAAAATCATTATGGGAAAGGATATCCCAGTGTAGCTTCCATCCTGGAAACTCCCAGATTTCCTTGCCAACATCTGACAATTTTTGGATTACAAGAACAGATGAACACATACTTATGAGGTGTAAGATAGCAGTACAAGGTCAATAATATCTGCACACTGAGTTTCTCTAAATATCTTGGAGATTATCAATCTATTTTGATTATCTGTGTGAAAAGGATACCCACTAAATTTTATTGGCATCATATTTTAGAGTCTTGTTCAGGAGATAAAGCATGGTCAGGAATAAACATATAAATAATTCAAAAGCAAGATTAATCAAATGATTCTCATATTTTATAATTTTATACATTAGTTTTCACTATAGTGAGTGAGAGTCACCCTATTCCATTCTGGCTTTTTAAAAAAAAAAAATGCCAGATAATAATTAACTTCAGCTTTGTATCCAAGTTTATTTTATGAAACTTGTATGGGAGAAAAAATAACTTACTGGAAGTTAGAACTGTATTTATTTTGCACATATGTAGCATTTCAAAATCATTTGCTTTACTTGAGTTTCTTGCCAAACCATTCACTAGATATGAGTGGAAGGACTTTAAATCACTTAACCTATGAATTCTCAGAGTTTTAGAACTTATCACTTGGCAGTGACCATTTTGTTGTTCTCTTTTTATATTTAGCCAAACTTAAAGTCATATTTTTTTTCCTCTAGCACCCAGTATTAATGAAAAAGTAAAAACATTGACGTCAAGATCCTTCAAACATGTATAGCCCGTTACATAAGTTTATTAGCCTGTAAAATCTAGTTTTTTCATATATAATTAAAAACTTAAAAATTAAATTAGAAATAATTACAAATTTAATTTTTAGTCTGAAATGTCCACCAATGTTTTATTGATATACTTGTGTGTGTGTGTGTGTGTGTGTAGAGAGAGAAAGAAAATAAAGAATCAGAATAGATGAAAGAAACTGTTGGGTTAAGAGTAAATTATGTTACAATAGCCTCAGAATAAATTCTATAAATAAAAATTTACATCAAATAATTAGGAAATATGTTTATAAATATTTTTTATATTTAGATTATTCACAACCATATGTCAATGATTTTGACCATCTGAGATTGGTCAAAAACATAGGGGCAATGAAAATTAGTTTTCATTATATTAGCTTACTGTAAAAATGATGTTATTTCTTCTTTCGGTCTATTTTATGAGCAATTGTTAATAAATCTGTAAAACTTGATGGATAGCAAATAAATCTAAAAAATAACAATATATGAAACACAAAATTAACAAAATATAGAATATTGATTGTAATACATAATAAGAGTACCTGCTTTGTAGAAAGTTCCATTGCTGAAATAGCAGTTGCTTCCTAAAGAAGAAAAAGAAATATGTGAAATATTTGTTCAGTTAGAAAAATCAATTGTTAATTAATTAACACAAGGCACTCACATACCTTCCCAGAAAGATAACTTTAGTGCCACAAGAAGTGGAAAATAAGACATATAAGGGAAACTACGTAGAGAAGTGTCAAACGTGTGGAGCAGACAAGAGGGTGTCAATGTCCTCCAGTCAAAGACCATCAGGAACGCACCTGTAGTTGACCGCGTTGGGTTTAGTGCTCATTTTGCAGTAGGGAGAATGCATGTAATAGAGTGCCATGGGTCACTAAGTAAGAGAGTGTGGGAAGGAGTTGATGCTTTGGACTTGTTAGTTGATTTAGGGGAGGGTTTGAGGAAGTGGGGCTTTGCATTGGACTGGATGCTATCAAAAAGCAGGGGTAATTCTATGATTAGGTATCATAATAAATCTTATTTATAAGAAAGAACAGAGTGAGGCTAAAGCTGTGATTGGTAAAGAAGCAGCAATCACATTAGGCAGGAGAGAGAGAGATATTTGGTCATTCTTGTGGTTTGGACAATATTTATGTTTTTATCGGTTTAGACATGTCTTGATTCACCACGGTCTCGGGGTGACATTGTATGATTTGGAGTTCTGTGAATTTTTTTATGTTAGACTGGAGAACACCATGGCCTGAGAGTGCCAGACCAGCTCCTAACAACACCAAGGGTGAGGGAGCATAGTACTTGGCCATTTAGAATAATCTAAATATTCTATGCCCCAGCTGTCAGGGACTGTGAGGGCTCAGTTAAAATGAGATTATAATATTTTACTATTAAAAAGTCTGTTTAATATGCAAAGAACTAAACTACAGGTTTTAGAGAATATAATCTCTCCAATTCCTATCAAAAGGCAGATATAGAGAAGTAATAACCAGAAAAGTAACAATCACCAATTCACTTCTTTAAGTATTCTTTGACAAACATAGACCACCCAAAGGCTATACACCTGAACAAATTAGCTTATCTCTTTTTAGATTCACTTTCACTGAACTGTACTCTATCATAGACAAACAATGTTTAGAAAGAGATTGTTTGTGGGTTGTAGAGGGGGCTGATGGAGAAAAGGCTTAGGTGGGTAGAATGATCTTAAAAAGCTTCATTGTATAAGCGGCTGAAGCTGAACCCTGAAGAAAGTATAATTGCCTGGTTCAAATTGTGACAGACCTGACCAGAAGCGTGAGTTTAAACAACGTATTTAACTTCTTTGTACTTCAGTTTTCTCATTTGAATAATGGGGATGATAGTCCTTTCTCATAGGGTTGTTGAGAAGATTAAATAAGTCAATCCGTGTAAAGCACTTTACAAATGTGCTTGGTGAATCGTGTTTATTCAAAAGTCTCTCTCATACACACACATACATACACAACACACACACACAATTATCTCTCCTTTTCTCTTTAGCATTTATAACTATCTGGATATATACCTTATCTATCTTGTGTCTTGTGAGTTGCTCCCCATACCTCAAAGCAGAGTCTGGGGTAAGATCTTGTTTGCAGGTAGGGAGCAAGAATGAAGGAACAGAGAATGAGAGGAAGGAAGAAGAGCCAGTAAGATAAGAAGGTATGTTATAGAAGTCACCACTGAGAGCAAATCTGAGAACGGTAGACAGTAATCTCAAAATTGTTCACTGAGGTGTGTGCCAAGACAAGTATTTATTCATGAGCTTCCACTCCTCACTGATTGTCTCTCGGGGTGTTAAATCTCCCACACCCCTAGGTATGACTATTGCCTGCCTTCTTGCCTCCTGTCAGAGAAGCCCTGAAGCAGAAAGTGAAAGACCACAGCAACAATTACAGCGAGGCAAACAGGCTGTGAGGAGGGGCAGCGGAGGTATCTCACAAGTCTTATGAACTGTCTGTTTTCCCCATTTGGAGCCCTGGTAGTGGAGTGGTTAAGAAATCGGCTGCTAACCAAATGGTCAGCAGTTCGAATCTACCAGCTGTTCCTTGGAAACCCTATGGGGCAGTTTTGCTCTCTCATAGGGTCTCTATGAGTCAGAATTGACTCGACGGCAGTGGGTTTGGTTTTCTTCCCATTGGCAAAGAGGGGAGCCCTGGTGGGGTGGTGGAGTGGTTAAGAGTTCAGCTGCCAAACAAAAAGGTTGGCAGTTTGTATCCACCAGCTGCTCCTTGGAAACCCTATGGGGCAGTTCGGTTCTGTCCTACAGGGTCGCTATGAGGCGGAACCGACTCAATGGCTATGAATATATATATACACGGGAACGCTTGTGGTGTAGTGGTTAAGAGCTACAGCTGCTAACCAAAAGGTCTGCAGTTCGAATTCACCGGGCTCTCCTTGGAAACCCTACGGGGCAGCCCTACTCTGTCCTATAGCGTCGCTATGCGTCGGAATCAACTCGACGGCAACAGGTTTTATATATATATAAATATACATATATGAAAGGAGATTTTTGACTAGTTTATTGTCATATCTCTTGTACCTGGGACAGTGAATGGCACAACTCTCAATAAATATTTATTAAATGAAAGAGTGAATGAATGAATAAATTATCAATTTTTCACTCTCTCCTATCTCAACCCACCCCACTACATTCTTTTCTTCCATTTAATTTGTATATATGACAGACATAAATCTTCTAAAAATTCTTTCCTTTTCTTCTAGTTTAGCAGAATTTGTTGAAAAATAATCTAAATATTCTATACTCAGTTGTCTTTAATTGTTCACCTTATATTTAATCCTATTCACCCCTTAGGGCTCTGTGTCTGGCCCCTTAAGATGGGGGGGGTGGTGAGCTACTATCCTCAGAAGCAGAAATCACAATTAACTATGTATTGCCAGTGGATACTTTCTTGTCTGTGTTGTTATTACCGAACTTCTTTGTTCTATATGGCACTGTTGATCACTCATTTAATCTTGACTGCTTCCTCTATTAAATTCTATTATGCCTAGGACCTCTTTATTGACTTATTGACTTTATTTCTTCTTAGTTTTTTTTTCACAGTCTTCTTCCAGTCCTCCAATCATTCTGAAGATGTTTGCCTTTCTTTGCCTTCTCTTCTTCCACTCTTATTAGGATGCTACCTCCTTTCTCTGGGTGAGCTCATCCATCTTTATCATTTTAATTACCCCCTTTTGTGCCAGACAATTACAAATCTCCATTTCAAACCCTTAAGTCTGAACTGAGAACAGGATTTTCTTAATAAATTTAAGATAATTTTCCTGAGACACAAATGAGACAAATGATTTAGGATGTAAATTAATATAATGGAATAATTTAGAGATTTCCCATAATTTCCAATTTTTATAGCTTAACTGAATGATATTAACTATTAAATTAAAAAATTTTCTATGGGAATTGTTATTAGTCACAAAGAAAACTAAAATGAAAGGAATGTCTACCAGGGTCTAATTTTCCCTATGCAGAGATATGATCTTCACAATTTAGTGGAATCAAATGTCAAAAATCAAGGAGAAAATTAGTCACAGATTTCCAGCTTTAAAAGACAAAGCTAAAGATTGTATTTAGGTCTGTACAATATTGGAATCAATTAACCAAAGCAAAAATTTAGAAGAATTAGGAAAATTTTCCACTGCAACCCTTCAATTTCAACAGCTTCATATGAGAAATGGTTATGTGGTTATGTAAGCAACTAACTTCATGCAAGTTTTCATGAAATAAATTTTATAGTCAAACTGCAAGGAAGGAACTTCTTAGGCAAAGAATTAACAACTAATGTTAATTGAGCTAAAAGTTAGCTATCTTTCTAAGTTCTTAAAAAATGAAGCTGATTAATATTAACTAATTTCATGTTCATTGACAAAGTAAAACATCAAATATCTGTTTTTGATGAAAACATAAGGCAGATCAATATGAATTATTTCATACATAAATTGTAAAACATAAAAACAGACGCTAATATACACAAGAACGCCACTGTGTTATATTATGATTTCAACATTCTTAAATTAAGATACTAGAATCCCTTAATTGAAGGAACTTTATTTATTTGTTTTTTGACCAGGAAATTAATAACAGTTTGGAATAAGATGTACTATATGCTGCTTGCAGCTGAATTTTACTAGACAATATATTAAGATGACATCCATTTAAATAAGCTATATTTTTTTCTGAGAAAGAGCTGGTGGTGACTATAACTTCCATTTAAAACAGATGTAGCTTCATAAGCATTTTTTCGTGAAACTGGTTTCAATTGCAAATTTAATTGGTGTTCGAGTAAAAATGAAATTAAAAACTTAGCATCTTTTCAAGATTTTCTATGACTCCAATTTACCATTTTTTCTCCAGATATTTTAATCTAGTCCTTATTAAACTTTCGTGCTTGTAAAGCTTTTCAACCTGCTGATCCCAGGAGATTCTGATATAGCTCACTGGATGCTAAGCACGTGGACCCTCCTTCAGAATGAGTTAATAGGCTAGGTTTTGGAAAGCATCAATTATGTTTTACATTTGAATGAAAATTAAACTCTTTCATTTGTTTGCTCAGCTGTTCATGGAATATTGCATAAATTGGGTTTAAAATGCATATTATCCATGTAACTGCCTTGCAATCCTTTGCAGTCAATAGGACTATAAATAAAACACATTGTACTAAGTGCACTGCAAGTCAATGTAACAAACTTGACTGTCTCAAAAGTAGAACTCTGTTTGACTAGTCTGGAAAGAAAATCTCACACTGACTAATTAAAGTGAAAATCAGTGTATGTCAAGTTTTTATATCTTCTGAATACATATTTTTAACGGTATATATGTGGAATTTTTAAGAATTTAAGAGATCCATAGTCAACAACATCTAGCATTTACTAGTAATCTTTATTTAAAAAATGCATCAAAACACAGCGATATCCATTATGAGATGAAGAAATTGAGGTGCAACTGACTTTAACCAACTTACTCAGAATCACATAGTAAATGGGATTCAAATTCAGATCTATGGTTGCAAATAATATTTGGAATTGAGTTTTGCGTATAAGTACTTTAATGCCA